GGAATACAAAAATAATATCACAATAAGCAAAAAATACACATATAAATTTTAAACAAGGAACGGACTCACAGTCTATGGCTTAGTGTACCAGTTAACGTTGCAGTTACCGGAAAAGATGTTACATATATTCAGGATTTGACATTGCTGTTGTACGTAACATCTTCATGGTCTAGGGATTACAAACACAGCCAAACTAGAAGACAGAAATGAAGACATTCTCAGATGCATATGCAAGATAGTCGGTGTGTCGGTATATATATATATATATATATATATATATATATATATATATATATGTATGAGCTGAGTTGAGTACCTGTTGCGAGGGGTGGGTAGTACGCCATCTCCATGGTGATCTGGTGAAATGGATTCACCAGACACCTCCAGCCAAGATGTGTGCAGTACAACCCATTAGGTCAGAATCGATGTCAAACACACACAGAACTATTTATTTAGGGATTTATTTGTCGACATAATTAAAAAAACACTAGATCAAGGTGCTTGCATAGATTTCAAGTGTTATGATAGAATTAATGAAAGTCATTGAAAATAAGCACTGGAGTGTAACGACCGAACAAATTGTATCAAAAATACAAAATACCTTAAATGGTACAGCCTGTGCTACATAGCCAAAGGTTTCTGTAACAAAAAGTAGTGCACTAAACAATAAAAGAAACGGTTAATACAAAAGGGTTCGATACCTGAGGATCAATAAAAATATTCCCAACAAAATGGGATCAAATATCTATCTGCCGGCATTCCAGTAATCCTCCCAAGCAGGCAGTCTAAAGGTTAAAAGTCACACTGAATCACGCTGTGACCTTGAGCTCAGTCAAACACGACCTTACTGCCAGTAGTCCGGCAACATGCAATAGAAAATTAGGTAACAAAAGATAAGTCTTTAATCGAACTCGCATAACAAAAACTCAGACGAGGAAGACTGAAGAACAAAAGGTGTGGTTAGACGAGATCTGAACAACAGTTACAATACACGACAGGGAGAAGAAACAAGTAAATGACAGTACTGTCCAACAAAAACGCTGTGGAGGGAACACGTACTCACCTACAGATTAACATCTTTCACTTGAACCGTCTGTGTCTGTCTCATAACTGACCTACTGCTGTCCATGTCGCATATCATTTACTTGTCTCTATACCACCTATCATCATCTCCGTTTTACCTTTAATTCCCACATTTTGGTCTCCCCACACCGTCTACATTACCAATATTTTTATTTCTTTCTTGAAACAATTTTCTTCACTGAGCATCCAAATTTTCCATCTATTGTTTATCTCATTGCTATCAACCAACCTCCTGTCTTGTAATGTGATAGCTACCGGTCTCCAGAAACCTACTACCCTTAGACAAATGCACCCACTCAAACTGCGAGATATATAAATACACAAATAACTATTAAATTGATTAGAATTAGTGCAATCAAGTGGCTCGAGAACTACACATTGAACATTACCAAAACGAGAGGCGAGCGCAGAGAAATTAGTCGGCTTATACAAGCTCGTGACATATATATTGCATTTTGGAGTCAACTTCTTCAGGGTTTCCCGAGTTAAACTTAAATTCATGAGCATTTATTCCCTTCAGTCTCTGTATTTTTATAATTAGAAGAATGGACTAATGATTGTTTCTAGCGTCGTTTTCCCTTGGTGTTTACTTCATATTATATCATATTTATAACCTCACACTGGTCTGACTTTGGGCACCATTTTTCTAATGAAATTAAGCTCCTATGCTAGGACTTTACAAGTTGTTCAAAAATAATAAAGATTTGCGCTTGATAAAATTTATTATTTAGATAACATTTCCGAAGTTCGCACAGTTATCCTACACGTTTACTTTATCCTTCTGTCTGTTTAACTTAATTGACCACTGTTGTGTTCTGTGATTTATCTGAAAATGTTTGAATAACAGTTAACCTAGTGTTTAGTTAACTTCGTCTACTTATTTTACATATATTTTTCTGCTAAAATAGCTCTACTTTTGCAGTCATAAGTTATTCTGCGCTGTCGTTCACTTTTTTCAGTATCATCGTAGCTGTCGGTTTGAGTCTGTATGATATTTTAGTGGTCATTTATGACTTCCATTAGGTCGTTCGATGATTGAATGAATAACTGTTATGGAAAAATACATCCCGACTACCCTCATATATAATCATCGACTTGAATCATGTTAGAGAATAACGGAATTAAATAAGTTAAACACGAGAATCGAGTTCGAATACGTATATTTCACGCAATCGTTGATGCCAAATAGACGATCAGATAAATGAAGAGAAACGAAACAAAGGAGATAAGTGAGCCAACTCAACCAAGAGTGGGTCGATGCTTATAATCAAACAAAAATAAGCTACAAACGTGATGAATAGGATAAGCAATGTACACGTGAATAATTAACAAAGTCATAATGTGACTCAAGAAGAATAAACAAACTGGTTTGTTCGGAAGCTAGAATGACCCATGTGGACTTAATATGGTACTAGACACCACCACCCAGCTTTGATAGTATTCATTTTGTCAATAGGTCTTGTACTGTAGTGACCATGACTAAAAATAGAGTATACCGATTCTTCTTTTATAGAATGAACGTTGCCAATAATATACAAGTGAGATATTTAAAAGTTTTATACGACGAAAGTTAGGGTCCTACCATATCCTGGATTATGCAAAACGATATAATTTACAGTGACCGGGACCTTATGACATCTCGCTCAAAATATAGTAGGACATTTTATCAAAAACTGCATAATCTATCTCATTTGTCATTATTTCGGGAAAATACGACTGCTAACACATTTATTTTACTGGAGATATAGTCACTTCCGGCCTTGCAAATAAGACAGTTGCTCGATATATGGAGTCACGAGACTATATGATCCGACTAAAAGTTTAACGGCGTATTTGACTGACGACGAGCTTTATTTCAGAAGTAACGCTGGCCGTTTACAATAATTGACAAGTCGATCAAAAAACACGGTTGTCACCCAAGACAACTATATAATCTCTGAGAAATAAGTAAGCAATTAATGGGAATTTTACTACCATACTGCTTCCTTATTCTGCTAGTGAATAAACAAGGGTTAAAGAACCACAGTTCAGGTGCGAAGCAAAGTGTATGCGCCAATCAAAGGTGACTGCATAAAGGAAAGCAAGTTTCAATACGTTATCTTACTAAATTGTTTCATCCAGGTGAAACCCCTTATAATTTGTATTAATTCTAGAAATCTCAACTTTGCTTCCCGCTTTAAATACGAAAAATACAATGTATCGATAATGGATTAGGTTCGGCATAAGAGCTGGTTCATGAAACTCCAAATTATACACCTTTCATAGCTTTCATATTGGGGTAGGTTTGGATCCTTGTTGTTAACTCGTTAGGAATCCTGTGCAGATATCCCTTTTGAGGAATCTTATTTCGCTAAATCATAGGACTAAACAAATGGAGTATTTCAGTAATTCCCGTTCTGATTACCTCAGGACACGAAAACACTCCTTAAAATGAAGGGGCTGTCATAACGTAGTAAATATTTTAGTCGTTCGAAGTATTGAGACTCAGTGACATCGAGAACACGCATTCAGTTAAAGTTATCCAAACAAAATATTTCACTTTACGAGTTAACTACTAATTACCTTTACATGCAATTTTGATAATGTCTAACGAACGTACCCAACTTGTAAATTAGTAAATGATGTCTAAAAACACGAAATAATAATAATATAGACCTAGCTATTACTTTAATTGTGAACTCATAGCACTTTTAAATGCTCACGTGACCGAGTTGTTTATGAGGTCAACAACTATGACAAAACTACCTCGTATTTAGAAAATAAGTGAAAAGAAATTAGTATCATTTTGACCAACTATCAGCACATTGATAAATAGCAGACAGTGTACAGTGCACCCTGATAAACTGATTAATTCAAGATATCAGTTGATACAGAAAACAAGCTAACGGATAGCACTGAATTCATAGTAGTTTCAAAGTCAAACTTTGAATATACTAGAAAACAGACATATACTGCACAAAACTATATGCTACAATTTAAAGCAACACCTAGAGAAAGTAAACATACGAAAATAAAACCTTGAGAGGAAAGTTAACCTTGGCGAGAAAATACGCCTTACACGAGTGGATACATATATGTAGCTTACACAAAAAATAATGTGGACAGGGCTTTGTGTAGGACTAAAACTCAAAAACGAAAAATACTCCTTCATAAATAAAAGCATTCATTGCATGGCAGATTTAAACTGCTCAAAATGTGTACAGTTAAGACAAACTACATAAGATTGAAGTAATTAGACATAATGTTTAACACAGCCGATTGCTTCCTTCCTTGTTCCGAAGGAAGTTCATTTACTCACCGAAATATGTGAAGTTGCCCGTCGCATTAATAGTCGTATTATTTACCGTAACAAGGAAGATGCTTTTAGTCAAATGATATAAGTTAGTACTGTGGGTAACTGCACATTTGAGCGGAGAAAGAAACAAAGAATTGAGTAATTAACATTGACTCCACCTTTTCCAAAAGTTATGAATCAGAATAAAATGAATCATTTTTAGAATGCATAAACTTAAAAGAGTGAGGCAATTAGAATATGTACATACACATAAGAACAAATCATATATAATTTATGTAGGTAAGGTTAGTAGTTTAATAAAAAACTGAAATGGAAGCATGAGATTTGCAAAGGAAACAAAAAAGTCATTGATAACTTAACTGTAGTAAGTTGATGAAGACTAGGTTTGTAGTAGTAAATTGAGAACAATGAAGATTTGATTTATTCAATTAATTGATAATGAGCAATCAGATTTATCCTGATCATTATTTAGAACTCATCACCTTACAACATATCATAGGAATAATTTGAAAATTTTTGACAGCGGAGTTAGGATGACATACTGTAGAGAGTAGACGCAAGGAATGGTAGGATGGAACTTGAAAGATACAGGTTGTATTTAGATTTGGTTTACAAAATGAGATTAGGCCAAGTACTTATAAACTCGACGATCATCTTCTAATCGAGCAAGAAATTCTCGTTCAATAAGTGATTCAATACGTTGTTTAATCATCAGGGGGGTAGGTACAAAGCGCGATTTTAATTGTTCGATAACTTCAACAACAAGTTGTCCATGACTTAAAGTTTTACGAGCTTTCATGACCCTCACAATAGTTGCCTCAATCACATAACGTCGATTTTCATCTACTTTTGTCCGCGTTTCCTGACGTTCTGGTTCGCTTTCTTTAACAGTGATACTTTGAACCTAAAGATAAAAATATGGGAAAGATCGATAACAGTTTAAATGAGTACATAGTTAAACAAGTCAGTAGATAAGTATGCAGAAAATAGATTAGTCTATTTAGTGTGAGTTGCTTTATCCTTAACTGTGATAGGTTGGAGGTGATAAATTAAATTTGTTAGAAGTTTCAATCATGGTCATGACGACTGAGAAGTAGAGAAAGTGGAACATATTAAAATCATTATGTGCGATAAGTTACCGTTAATTAATATTAAGTCTGAATAGACTAATCCGAAAAAGGATAGTTATATGACTAGATTGCCTAATTTTAAAACTAGAGAAAGGAAAAAATGGGTGAAACACTGTCAGGTTCATGTAACTTAAAATTAGTTATTTAGGTTGTAGAAGATTCAGTAATGTTAGGAGTTTGCATACAAACTTTGCTGAAATCGATGAACAGACAAGAGAGTATTCTAATTAGAGAAAAAAAACAAAAATAGAAAACATGACGTACAGTTGATCCGCAACTGGAAGCGGAGAAGGTAAATGAGTAGAAACAGAGCATTATGTGATATTTAATGTGAGGGTTGTCAACATTAATCAAGGGGAATCTATTAGTTTGATCTGCAAGACAAAATAAAGTAGATTTCTGAAAATTTGATACCTTGTTCAAAAATAAATTCATCGTGAACAAAGTAGCTCAGAAACATTATTTTAAAGTTAATTTATCAGACTAAGTAGTTTTATGTTCTTTCATAATCATATCAAATCATAAATTTAGAAATTGTCGTCACCTGAGACAAACACTCTAAGGCTCAAAATTTTTATTATCCAAGAAATACAATGTCATCTTAATATGCATATGATACCTAATATCAGTTGATTGAGAATAGTCAAAAAGAAGACTTAAATTCAAATTTTATGCCTCTTTACGATCAATCAATAATCAAATATTATTTAATGACAATATTGGAGTACTGTTTTCTGGTAACAGATTACTAAAATAACCATTTCGGTTGAAAACGTAAAACTCAGAATAAATATAGTGTAAGAAACCTCAACACACTAGTAATGATTCAATTAGTAATAATAAGTTTTAGGAAAATAAACCATACAAATTATATATATAGTTTAGACATACCCGAACTTTAATATGTTTCGAAACAAATGAATCATTGACGTAGAATATATCAGTTGACTCTATATCACGTGTTTTAGGTTCTTTGCATAAAATCCGTTGACTACAACGACCTAATGCTAAAGCCATAAGACTACGTTTTAATTCACGTTCAGGAATATTTGTTTCAGTGGCTAATTCAATAAAACTATAACGATTTCGTCGATTAAATTTCATTAATATAATCATTTGATATGTGGAGACCTAAAAATTGAGAACAATAAACGGGCATATTATAAGACGTATACATTTATAAATTCACGTTAACATAAACATAATACATACAAGAATTATTATGAGTTCCACTAAAAAACTGAAATAACAAACAATTGATTTAAAAAAAAGAAATATATTGGAGAGTAGAAGCATGTTAGTTTCCAAGAATTTCGCTTGATGACCTCTAACGGGAAATATGTAAGTTGTTAACGGTTGAATAATTCACTAGTCAGATTTCAATCCTTGTTATTCACCAGAAGAGATGAAGAAAGAAAAGAAAGTAAAGAACAACTTTATTTAGACAACCATTGGAAGCCTAGAAGCACTGGATGGTCGTGCAATTCTAAGCTGGGACTCAGTAGTACACATCCACGACCCTGAAGCTGGGAATCGAACCTAGAACCTTCGGTCCGTGATCTCAATAGAATCCAGCAGTCTTCACAATCATATGCTGACAAAAACACATTTTTTGACAAGTTTTTAGTGAACTCTAAGAGTTAGAGATGCCAAGTGATTGGGTAAACCAAGCTAGGTAGAGCACGATTGAAACCTATGAACTATATAAGTGGTCTGGAAAATAAGTATATTCTGGTATAATAAAAAGATGGTTGATGTGAAGAACCATTGTAGTGGTGAAATAGTCTGCTTTGGTAGTCGAATTGTGAGGTAAAATGATACCACTACTTAAATAAGATTAAAAGCTATGTATTAAGCGGCTGCTGAAACACACGTATCAATTAAATGATATTTAGTAACTAAGAGTAGATTTATGTTTGGACATTAAAGTATACCCATAAAGTAATGGTTACTAATAAAATACAGATGATCAAATCCTGATGGACGGAGGTCGATTTGAATTACTGATATAGTGTTTGATAGTCAAGCATATTAATTGTCCAACCATAGATACGCTGATAACACTGACGAAAACATAATGCTTAGAAATCTTTCCCATCACATTCCAAACAATAATCTATTTGCTTTTTTTAAATGTTTATAATACAAAATGATGGGATGAAAACGATTCATTAACACTAGTTAGCTGATTAGAACATAGATTTGTGGTAAATATTTTATTTTGTTTAGACATAAATCTTGATACAAATGGGGATAAAAATAAATGTGCTCCACTCAATGAGATTGTGAAGAGGTAATACATAAAAAACACAATAAATGAACAAAAATAAGTGAATGAGGGGGAAGCAGTTCAGTTGAGAAAATACAACCAGAAAGGATTTCCCCAGTTAAAGAAGTTTCTCCCATTTATATGAATAAAGTAAAATAAAGTTACAGCAAGACAACCACTGGCTTCTATTCTGAGCTGTCTGATAACGTCTCAAGCCACTAAGTTGCACTATTTATAAGGCCCCAACCAGGGAGTAGCGGAAGACCAACAGATGTCAGCCTTGTACGTTATCTGAATACCACGACACTACGTCATACACTGATCATCTCTTCGCTTTTGCCAACCAGTCGGCGCTAGGAAATAATGCACGGTGTGGAATTCACTAGGACGACATTAGTAGTACATATCTAAACCACCAAAGCCTGTGTTTCAAGACGGTGACACTAACTGAATTATCATCGCTGTGCTCTAACACAAGTTGCCGAACCTCTGCATTACTACTGTGGTGTTTCCACTGAATATCAGCAATCCTTTAGAGCCAACGATGAGTAAATACAGAGTTGGTAAATAAGATAATTAATTATTCTATGTGGGTAAGGTGATTAGTTTCAACATAATTCAAATGATCTTCAATAAATAGATGTAAAAAGACTAGGAGTTAATTACTAGCGCCGAATATAATGAAGGCTATAAGCGATACTGTGATATTTCATTAGAGTTTTACACAGTGCTTTCAGGTGCCATCCAGTTGATTTACTGGTAAATTTACCAATAAATTCTAACTAGATTAATTACAACCATCAGCTTACTATTATCAATCACGAAAAATAATGCAACTTACAGTGGACCTAATGTCAGCGACCAACTGCTTAACACGTAAGTTGACTCTCTTGAAACAAACTCTCTGAAGCTAAGCTGAATAGCTCTATGAGATTACTGTCAATTGAGATTCTATCCCTTTTTATAAATAAAAATTGATACAGTTATTAATTCGGAATTATTTCTGAAGTGTGAATAACACCGTAATTGACCATGTTGTGACATAAACTATAATACAGTTATTTTTAACTATTTGGGTCATAAAGTTACAGATTCACTGTTAATTTACCATGAAACGACTGATTTTAATATTAACTGAATGTTGAAATGAAGATTCTAAAACAAAAAAAATGGGTTACTGGTCACAGACAGCTGATTACACAATCAGTCTGTATGGGACATATGAATGACTTAATAGAATCAAAACGAATAAGTACAATTAGCTAGGTTAGGACGATGGCTTTTTCTGTTGTAGTTGTTTTTGTTCTATTAGTTTATACTTATCGCGTATATATATATATATATATATATATATATATATATATATATATATATATATATATATATATATATATATATATAGACTGAGAAACACGACAACAGCATAATAGGTGAAAATCCCACTATTTCTAACCTTGGAAAACCAACTGCTAACAGAAAACTATTCTAAAGGTATTTTGATGAAGGCAAGAAACAGTTACTACTAGAAATAATGACGATAGAAATTCATGTCAAGAGGTTGAGGTTTGTAAGGGAATTATTGCGAACCAAGGAACACCAGACAGCTGTTTTGTCCAAGTTCAGGACTCCGTAAAACTGAGTACTCACAATCTCGCAAAATAGAACTTAAAAGCATTAAGTTTTGTGGTGGGTGTTAATGAGTTGGGATTTATTGATCTACATTTTTAAAATCGGTCGATTTATTATACAGCAGTAAAGTTATCTCACAACTCCGAAATAAACTTGTAAGTATAGGGATATTGAAAAACTAGTTTAATGACTGTTACAAATATGATGGAGTCGACTGAGGGAGACCATTAAATTCATAGAAAAATGTGTATATCAAGTTGTTTCTTTCATGTGATTATTACTTTTGTAATTTTAAATACGACAGCAATGCCCTTTATGTAAATACGATTAACGAAAACCCGTAATCATAGTTATACGATAAAAAAGTTTCTTAATAAAATATATGAGTTTTAGTTAATAAAGTATTACAAATTTCATTCTTTAACTTATATCAAAAGTAAAAATATTCATAACAGAAATTTTAGATGTTAAAATATGTAGTTTAAGGAGGGTAAGAGAAACAATAAAACACTACTAAATGTTGTGTTTATAGAATACAATGAAATAGTATAGTTCTTTTTACGATTCCAAATTATATGAACAGGAAGACAAACAACTGAATGAAAATGTGCTACATATAAGCTCTTACCTCATGTAATTTTTCATTAATCCCACCTGGGAAATCAACTCTAAAGATTTAGCTAGAAAGTAAATTAACAGTTTTATTTCCTGGTGACAAACAATGAAATTTTCAATGACATGCAGAAAAAACATTTAGAAAGTAATGAACTGGAGTTGAACTTGGTAGTTTTTCGTTAGTTTGATCGAGAATTACAAAACATTATGTAAATGTACTGGATGAAGTCCGATTACAAGTCTGGATCATAAAAATCGTTACTGTTATTCGTTTTACTACTATGGGATCATCTTAATAATTTTATGTCAACCGCTTCAACTACACCTTTACTTAACCACACTGGAAGGTGCTCACGAGCCCGAATATACAAATTCCTAGACACAGAAGGAAATAGCTAGTCGTCCATATATCGGCAGTAAAATGAAGACTTGTCGTTCTGTTGTGCCAGTGGGCCGTTTTCTAAGTTAGAGAAAAATGTCAGCCAATATGGGGCCCATGGGTGAACCTATTGCGACACCGTCTATTTATCTATAGATTTCACCATTGAATTTGAAATGTACATTTATAGTACATTTTAGTAGTAATTCTTTGATGATCTCTACAGAGATTGTAGTTTCTACTTCTTGTTCTCTAAGTTGTTCACAAATATGATGTCCTTTGACGTAACGTCATTGTTCACAAATACCCCACTCAAAGAATATACTTGTGAAAAACTTAGAGAACAAGAAGTAGAAACTACAATCCCTGTGGAGATCATCAAATAATTACTACTAAAATGTAGTATGAATGTACATGGAGCAATCTTTTGCAGTAATTTTATGTCACTGTACTGATATGGTGTAGCAAATTGAACAAATGGAAATATGTGTAAGGTTCTAAGTTGATTAAGAACTAAATAAGGAAGTGGAAACGATCCAATGAACTTTGATATACACAGTAGTAGAATACTGTTTTTCCCAGCACAACAGGGTATGTTGCATGGTCTAATAACAGAATTGATACATGCGTAATTATTTTAACAACTTAAAATACTTTTTTTCGAAGTTTTTAAGAACTTTAACGATAAAACACACACAATGTGATTAGAATATTTGGAATAATGACAATGTTCAACTAGTGTTAAAGTATAGTAAGTATGGAGAATCCAAACGAATTTCAACTTGTAAAGCAAATAAAAATCGATCAATTAACCCTACTCTACGAATTAGAGTGAAATATTTCACGTGAATATCAGAAAGCTTGTTACAACTAAATTCACATTTTTTTCCCCACGGAATAACAAATTAATATCAATAATTCACTTTTTTCAATAGTGATGTTACAGTAACGTAAGAAAAAAGCTAATAGGATAAGATGAAGTTTTTTGTATGACGTGAAGGAATGGTTATTTCTCTTTAAGAAAAGATTCAGCATTTTTACATTCTCTCTCAATATTACCTTCTACTATGATTAGCAAGTCCTATATGTAAATACTGGCAAGGAAGAACAGAAGACAAACGAAACTTGTCAATTTCACTTTTAAGTGCATCTGAAATATCTACTGTAGAGTACGGGGTCATAATAATACACTGATTAAGGATTTTATCGTTGAGATATAATTCATAAATGAATATACCTTTTAAAATATCAAGGTACATAATTTATTATATAAGGTTATATATGTGATGTCATGTGGTATAAACACATGGTATTAACTAATAAAAATACTCGGATTAAATATAGTGTTTTTAAAAGCACTGCTGTTATCAGCTTAAAAACAGTATAATTAAAGGAGATAAAATAGATTCTATAAACATGGAATAAAAATTATGACTAGGAGCAAGGTAATAAAATATTTAAATGTAGGTTCTGTGATTGAATATTGATCACAAAACGGCAACATGAATGTTGTTTATATGTAGCCGAGTAAGAAAGTTGAGTGATTCAATAGAAACTGATTTATTATCCGGTAGATAGTTGATATTTAGATGTTATTTGATTTGACTTATCATAATCAAAGTATTTTTATGTATTTAAAGGAACCTTGCTATTGGACAGTGTGTAATATAATGTACTATAATCAGTATTCACTAGTACAGACTATTTTTGATTCTCCATCTTTATGGTACTTTTATAATTAAAATACATTGAAAAATGATTTTCAAATGAAGGATATCATTTATATTATTGTCCATGAAGTCTCAAGTATTATTCTAATGTTGAAGTTTTGCAATAACACTTTGAATCACGGCTAACGTCATTAGATAGACCCTAAACATATTAATGAGCAGGAAAATAAATACTGGGAGTTCAGTAAATTGTGACTTAAAATTTCCAGAGCCAGAATCCCATTTTCTTTGGTTTGAAAACTCAATCAATTTCAAGTGCTAATTGAACTAATAGGAGTCATATGGCGAGACTATAATTTATGAACGAACCAATCAGATTTAGGATAACAGATCTTGAACTTTGGTGCGAAATTCATTTAACCATTTGGCCAAATAGCGTATTAGCATTTTAGCTGATGTCAATTCGTGATGAAAACTCTAAATCTAATTTCTAACCCTAACCGTCAAATGTAAACCATAATCCTTATTCTTCAAACCGTTTTATAACCCTCATTTGGTCCTAGTTAGTGGGTGGACATGCTCTAGGTCACTTTAGCATCGCTCAAAGGTCGTCCATAAATAAGTTTCACCCGTTAGTCTCATTAAAAAGACTAGGGAGTTACATTTAATGTTTATTTGTATGGGACACTATGACGCTACTAATTAAATAGTTGATAGATCAAATAAAAATATGGATTTAAAATAATTAAAATAACTAGTTAACCATAAATATATTATGTTCCAATGACACCGCAATACATACACTTAAGACCGCTACAGTAAAAGTCTATGCAAAGCTTAGTGTCAAAGGGTAAATAATCACATTGTTTTGGTTAGTATTTATTTTGAAAGTAGGAGTTTTATGACGGTTTTATTAGTTAATTACATATTTGTGAAATTTCTTGAAGATATGGAAATATATTTACCTGTAAGAAATATTTCCGTACATTCGACCGACTAGAAGTACTAATTGAGTTGGGAGGATCAAGTGTCTTTGGAGCTCCTGGGCTTCCTGGTAATCCACTGATTGGCGCCTGTTGACCACTTTGACTTGTCATTTGATTCGAAGATGCAGAACTGGAGCCATGAATAAGGAAACTGTGAGTATGAGAATCAGTAACAGAAGAGATCTGAGGTGTATTGATATCTGCATTAGGACGACCATAAAATACAGCAGACAATTCTGCGTACCCCATGTTTGTCTGCAGGTTGATTTTCCGACCGTTATGCTTGCTTAAATAGAAGCTGAATGATAAAATTCCAAACAAAAAAATCGTTAGAACGATTTAAAATCTGGGAGCTGGGTATAATTTGATTAAACTGAGAGCGATCACTGGTTGCCCTAGTTTATCGAAATTGAAAATTCTATTATGATAACTACAAAGAGAATGAATAACACGATTTCCGGAATACACATTTCCATATCTAGTTGATGGTTAACATGATATCAAAATCAGTAAAACCGAGAAAAAAAGTTTTCAAAGCTAGCTAAGGATGTACTTCTCTTCAGGTTTGGAAACACGAGTATATCTAACCAAGACCAGACTGCGATCATACTCCTTAAACTAAAAGTGGGATTTGTGAAGGTTTAATATAAATGTTTATGAGTGAACTTCTCCACTGTGATACTGTTATTTAAGTCAGAGATTTTGGAATTCGGTACGTCAAGTGGTGTTTACCAGTGGTATCCAGTAACCATTTTATTTGATTATATTACAGTTGTTTGTAAAAGAGACTGTTATTCAACTATTCAAAAACCCACATGAGATGTGGAGATGTTGACAAAACACAGTCGTTCGAATATCTTAAGAGACAACGACAGAATGTAGTCTGAAGTTAGAGAGCTAATAATGTCAAAAACTGGTAGTAATTTCGTGAATCCTTTTATTCCCTACCTCCTCATAGATCTTGAAACTCACTGTCATTTCATATTTTCCTTTTTTTGTTAGGCTGAAGTCAGTCAGTCAGTCAGTAATAACATGGAACTACGTACGTTCATCAGTCCGAGTTGCCATGCTACATTCGCACAGAGATAAATTTTCGATTCAAATCCCGTAAGGGTAGATGTGGTAAGAGTATAAGCAGTCATCGGAAAGATGAGAGTTTGAAGATGTTATTCAAAGAGTATAATCCAATGAAATAAATTTGGAAAGAGAAAAAATAGGAGACATGAAGAATTCAGAACACAAATAGTAGATGCACCTGCGCCACTGCAAACGATTTTGAGTCATGTCATTCAAGGTCTCTAACCATCGGTTGCTATCGTTTCTCGGATCCCAATCAGGTAGTCTACACCTACCAATATGGCTCAGTCTACTTGTCAGTGACTTCATGGATTTGTGCCATGTTTTGGTCTGGTCGCCCCTAGCTTTCTTCCAACCTACTCCTACACCGTAAAAGATTGCATATCGGGGCAGTCGGTGGTCGGGCATACGTAACACGTGTCCCAGCCATCTCAACTGATGAAGTTTCACTACTTCAATCGATTTGCCATCCTTACCTAGTACCCGTTTCCTAACAACTGTATTACTTACTCCGTGGTCCCAGGATATACGAACAATGTTTCGAAGACACCTATGATCGAATACCAGTAACCTACGAATATCCTTTACTCTTACCGGCTATGTTTCACTGCCATAAAGTAGAACGGAACGAATCGCTGAGCAGTAAATACGTCCTTTGGTTGGTAGACCTGATTCGGTTTGGGCACCCAGGCAGTATCACAGCCCTCACATATACTAAATGAGATCTGTGTGGCGCATATGTATTTGGTGCCTCGTACCAATATCTATGTGTTAAAATAAATAAATAAAATTGGTTGGTAGACGGATATCTCGCCTACGCCATAAATGACGCAAGTTGACAAAAGCTAGTCGAACTTTCGTCACACACCAGACCACAAGGGATGATGAGACTTCCCAGATAAGTGAAGAGTGATATGGTAACGTAAGCTGCTGAAAATTCATGGCTGCTTCAACACTGTTCACAATTTATATGATTGTACGGTTCAAAATTAGACCTGAACTATTATCTCTGGCGGTAAATGAAAAAAAATACTGACAATTATGCGATTTTTTAAATAGTAATTGCTTAAAAATCTATAAAAGAAACGATGCACAAAAAACCAGAAAGTTGAAGTTGTACGAAAGGTTATTAGTTTGTAAATCTGTAATCTGGTGAGCGACTAGTGTGAGGACTTTTCAGATTTATTATTTGATGCTTTATTAAACAAAATTTTTAATCACCAAAACAGATATAAATTATTGAAAGCAAATTAAACTACCAATATTACTTAAGCTACTAAAAAGACCGTTTCGCTGATAAAATGAAACTCAGTGTTGTAAGCATTTAGCATACCAATTGTCACTTATTTTTAGGGAGGTGGTTTGTGTTTAAAACATAGTTACACATTTGGAACTAAATACGATCATAATAACAATAGTCAATGTCTATTATGCAAAACACATGTGTACAAAATGACTTACTTTTTGTAAACTTTAAACGCTGTATCAGCTTCTTCTGGTAACGCTTCATTTGAATTAGTTACTTGAGTTGGCCAGAGACCAGTAGTTAATACACGAACGTACAGATCTAGGTTAAGATTGCGATTACCACTAGATAGTACTACATTGAATTCGTCCATGAGGGTTTTAGACACTGCCATATCTTTAAACATTCCTTCTAGTTTACTTGTGTATACAGCACCACATTCGGCCATAAGCTTGGATATCATAATCTTTTCTTGATCATCTGATTGACTTTTACTTAATAACAGCCTTTTTGCAAGATGCTTCTTGTAATAACCTTCAAATAGATCCTTTTCCTGTAAATATCGGAATAATACAATACACTTATCGAAAATGGCATCTACATCTTGGTCTGCCATACCTTTGGTGCCACGCTTTAGTTTCTCATCGATAAATAATGACAGAAATTCGGGAGAACGGGGATTTAAATTGACAAAGTACTCAAAATCAGAATTAATTTGATTACGAAATATTGTCTGATTATTAAGCGCTCTCGTTAGTAATTCATTAGCGCGATCGCGTAATTGAAGCAAATCTTGTATGTGCTGTTGGGGTGTTGATGACCCAGTATCACGTACAGTGTTTCGTCCTTGCTCTCTTAAGTACAGGCTAATGTAGTTACTCATTATTTTTGGTCCTTCTTCAACCCTACTTAAAACGCCATACATAGCAGCGATATCACTGAAGTGATCATGAGTTAACATATACGTTAATCCCGAATCTTCCATACCGACAATAGTTTCCATGTGTCGACTTATAAGCTCTTCTTCTAATACGACGACGATTTTGGGTTCCGTGGATGGGTCAAGATGGTGATGTGCTCTTCGAACTTCCTCCTCGATTCTTTGTTCGACTTTTTTAATATACAAGGAAGCAGAAGTATTCTCAGAAAGAAAATTTTCACTTTCTGTGCGGTAAAATTCTCTTGACTGCTCCAGAAATGGCTGTTCAAAATCTTCGAGGTAAACACGTAATGATCCGGCCCCTAACTGCACAAACATCTGACAGGCATCGCGAATCTGAGAACGCGATATTACTTCACCCCGGCGTTCCCTGCGCACCATATCTAACAGAGTTTTCTGCAAGTGCTCTCTAATAATTGGATAACGTACGACGAGATCGCAGAAAACAGTCATTCCCATTTTATAAACTCCATCAAGGTTATGGGGGCCAACATAGACACGATCCATGTACATAAGAATGTCACGAATCATTCCCATAGCAGTTTGGTGATCTTTCCAGCATGAGTTAAGGTAAGTTAAAAACTTATTATTTAGATTTTCAACAATACTATCGCGGATCTTGATCATATGTTCACGTACAACAGCCTCTGTTCCCGCATACAGACGTTCGCCGTGTTTTTGTAATATCAAAGTGTACGCATTGCGGTAGAGTTCTTCAAAGCTTAAACAACTGTTGTTTTTCTTTTGAATCTCGATTATCGCACTTTTAATCTGATCCCATAACTGATTGGCATATCTCTCATCTATTGAAGGAGGAAAAGCTTTGATTCGTACTTTAGCATTTGTCACTTCAGTTCGACGAGCACTGCTGCCTGTAGACATATCAGGTTTCTAAAGCAAAAAATAAATTAAAGAATAGCCGTTTGAATTTAGTCATGATATATATCGGATACAACAATGAGTTCGTTTTTATGAACTCATTAGGTAATCGTAATATCATCAAACTCACTACGGATAGCTGTTAACTAACCTACGATTATCGAGGCTTGTACATGGAGATAATGTCAGTCAGTCAATTGCAACGTAGGACCAGGTACATATGTGCATCGGTCCAAGTTGCCATACCGCATTAGCACAACAAGATGAACACCGGATTCATAAAGTAGTCACATCAAAGGTAGTAGTATGTAAAAGAAAGATTGTGTATAAGGATATAATACAGGAAGAAAGAATTAGTTTATAGAAAGAAAGACATGAAGCGGTTTTAATCTCATTTATTTATTTATTTTATTTGAACACATAAATATTGGTACAGGGGGGGCACCAAATATATATGCGCCACACAAAACAATGATGATTTGAAGAGAAGGAGAAAAGAGAAAAAAAAAGTAATGAACGTGGGGAAATATAAAAAAAAAAGAGAACAAAGGTGGGGGAAACGGAAAGGTACAATCAGAAGGGATCTTTCAGTTAAGGAAGATACAACCACTTTTTATGAAGTAAAGGAAGGTTACAGCAAGATCGCCACTGGCTTCTATTCTGAGCCATATCTGATAACGTCTCTAGCCACTGCGTTACACCGTCTCTCAGACCCCAGCCAGGGAGTCGTGAAGGACCAACAGAAGCCGGCCCTTTGCAGCTTTCTTTCATACCACGAAGCCATGTCATATACTGACCACCTCTCCGCTTTTTCCAACCAGTCCCAGAGTCGGCAAATAATGCACGACGAGGAATTCTCTGGGACGACATTCGTAGAACATGTCCAAGCCACCGAAGTCGGTGTTTCAAGATGGTGACACCAATTTCATTATCGTCTCTGTGACCGAACACTCGATGCCGAACCTCTGCATTACTGACATGGTGTTGCCACTGGATGCCAGCAATCCTTCGGAGACAACGATGATCGAACACAGAGAGTCGTCTAACATCCTCAACTCGGAGAGGCCAGGTTTCACAAGCATAGAGCAAAACTGCTCTCACCGTCGCGTTGTAGATCCGACCTTTTACAGCCAGACTAACATCACGAAGGCGCCAAAAATGGCCCAGATTGGCATAAGCCGCTCTGGCTTTCACTATACGTGCATTGGTCTCATCACTCACACCACCACCAGCACTTATGCAGCTACCTAGATACACGAACTTCTCGACTACTTCAATCTGCTCACCATCCAGAGTGAGTACAGGATTAGAATCCTGCCAGTCTTGTAGAAGTACTTTGCACTTCGAGGGTGCATAGCACATACCATACCTACGGACACTGATTGCCAACTGATTAAGTGCGGATTGCATGGCTTGAACATTCTCGCACAATAAGACAATATCATCCGCATACTCAAGGTCGAGAAGTCTTTCTCCAGGCAACAGATCCACACCACCATTACTTACATCCATCAGAGCTGTTTCCAGAATGTCATCGATGGCAAAGTTGAAGAGGAATGGTGAGATTGGGCAACCCTGCCTAACCCCACTGCTCGAATGGAATAGTGGAGAAAGGTGGTTGTATGCCCTCACTCTGCCTGAGGTGTTTGTGTATAGGGCTTTTAGGATGTTAATAAACTTCTCAGGCACACCCTTCTTCAATAAACAATCCCAGAGAACAGTTCTGTCCAACGAATCGAAGGCAGCCCTGATATCAAGAAACACTACGATTGTTGGCCTTTGATAAGTATGGCGATGTTCTAGCACTTGGCGGAGGGTGAAGATATGATCAATACATCCTCGACCAGAACGAAACCCAGCCTGCTCCTCGCGAGTCAATCCTTCTCGGGTTCTGAACAACCTACGAAGTATGACGGAAGCCAATAGCTTGGACGCAATCGGAAGTAGACTTATCCCCCGATAGTTGTTACAGGAACAACGTGAACCCTTTTTAAAGATAGGGACAACTATCGACTCATTCCATGACGTTGGTACACTCTCTAGTTCCCAGATCTTTGCAAACAACGTCGTCAGTCCCTTAGTCAGAAAGTCACCACCATCTTTAAAAAGAGCCGGAGGTAAGTCGTCTGGGCCCGGTGATTTGTAACGTTTCAAGAGTTGGAGTTCCTTGCGGACTTCCGCCTCATTTGGTGGATCAGTCGTCACCGGCCATGGAGGGCAGGACAGTCTGACCGATGTTGCTGGAGCAGCAGGCCAGTTGAACTGCCCTTCAAAGAATTCTACCCATCGTCCAAGACGTCGATGGATGTTAGTGATTGGCGTTCCGTCATCCTCGCAGATTGTTTCGCTCACACCAGACTTCTTGCTGCCAGTGGCTCGGATGAATTGGAAGAGCTTCCGGTAATTACCAGATGCAGCTGCTGCTTCCAACTCACTGGCACGCTCCGACCACCAGGCTTCTCGGTCCTTACGCAAGCTTTGCCCGATTTCATTACGTAACATCCTTCGTCTGTGGTCAAACTCACGGTCACCCGGAGTAGACCGACGGGCTTCAATCAATTGTAAGGAACCAGAAGAAACCCAGTGCTTGTAAGCGGGACGTTTCGCAAACCCACAACTGACTTGACCCGCCATTTTCATGGCGTCATGCAATTGCAACCAATGCTCATCTATACTTTTCGGTGGAATGGTAGCTAGCCTAGAAGCTAGCTCGGTTTGGTACTTACTAGCAACAGAAGTTGCAGCCAGCTTGCTAACATCAATCCTTTGGCGGCGGTCACTTCGTTGGCCACTGAAAAGTAAGGTAAGATTGGCGCCAGAGTCTTGAATACGGGTCTCTGATAGACAATACACGTCAATATTAAGACTTTCTAAAGACATAGCCAGCCCTATCTGTTGTCCGACCTGAATAAGTGTGCGAACGTTGAAGGCAGCCAGTTTGAATGGTGTACGTGGTTTCAGAAAAACTGCTTCAGTACTCATATTCGGTGGTAACATACAATTTTCAACCAGGCAGTGACTCAAGTACGTTTAGATAAAGCTGAATTTTCACCATAGGTGAGCTGCTGTCTAGGTCGAAATGGATACATAAAGTAGGAATAAGAGAGGGTGAATAAATGACGTGGTAATAATAATAATAGTACGAGTTATTTCAATGTTAATCAGATAGAAAGGAATATTTTCCATAAGCAAATTGTTCATCATCATGGTTTTAGTGCGTGGGCTGAGATACTGCCCGGGTGCCCAAACCGAAGCAGGTGGTTTTCTTAGGGGGCCACACCTCGAGCCTTCGACCCAAGGGTCTAGTCCACACGGCAGTGGAGCATCGTGAGGAGATGCAGTCCCATGGAAGCCGGTGACCAAAAGTTGGTTCATACGCCATTTGTTCCTTCAGGATACTGGAGCCCATGTGCACCATATAGTTGGGATCCGGTTATAGCGCCGGACGTTCGCTTTTCGTTCTCTCATTTTCGTAAACAACACCCCCGCCACGAGAAGGCAGTGACTAGGACTTCCCTGGCAGAGGCTGTATACGCGTGGCCGTGTGAGAGTATTTCGAGAGGGAGGGCGAACCCTTCCCGCTCTCGGCCATACCAGGGCATTTGGGGGAAGACAGAGAGTGTATGCACCGACGTCATTGTGATCGATTCTGAGCCATGTCACCAAGACTCTCCAACCATTGGTTATGATAGTCACGCGGATCCCAACCAGGCAGTCTGCATCTACCAACATGGCTCAAACCAGAAGTTAGTGACTTCAAGCACTGATGCCACGTTTTGGTTTAGCCGCCCCTAACTTTCTTCCAATTATCCCTAACACCGGTTAGCATTGAGCGTCGTGGTAATCGGTGTTCAGGCATACGCAACACGTGGCCCAACCATCTCAGTCGATGAAGATTCATAACCTCATCAACTGATTTACCATCATTCCCTAATACTCTGCGTCTAACCTTACTATTACTTACCTGGTGATTCCAGCAAATACCAGCAATATTTCTAAGACATCTGTGGTCAAACTTACGAGTATCTTCAACTCTTAGTGGCCATGTTTCGCAGCCGTAAAGTAGAACAGAACGAACTGCAGCGCAGTATACTCGACCCTTAATTGATAGACGGATATCTCGCCCACACCATAGGTGACGTAAGTTGGCGAAAGTCAAACGAGCTTTCTGAATCCGTGCTGAGATTTCGTCAGACACCAACCCATTAGGGCTAATCAGACTTCCAAGATAAGTGAAGTTGTCGACGCGTTCGACTACTTCACTCCTTATCCCTAATTCTGGTGTTGACGCAGACCAGTCCTGAAGCAACAACTTGCATTTAGAGGGAGAGAAGCGCATCCCAAACATTCTGGCATGAATGCTCAGTGCTACCAAAAGACTCTGCATTTTATCAGCGTCTTCACCAAACAGGACTATGTCATCTGCCTATTCTAAGTCGATAAGTGGACCTCCTGGTAGGAGATCAATACCCGAGAATTCAGTCGATGACAGCGTTATTTCCATCAGGAAGTCTATGATAAAGTTAAACAAAAAAGGGGAAAGTGGACAGCCTTGAAGGACCCCACTTGAGGTTGCAAAAACAGATGACAGTTTGCCATAAACTCTGACTCGACTAGTAGTGTTCGAGTAAAGAGCCTTCACAAGGTTTATGTACTTCTGAGGTACGCCTGTCAATGACAGACACTGCCACAGAACCTCTCGATCTACAGAGTCAAATGCTGCTTTTAAGTCGAGGAAGACCACCATTGTTGGACGCCGATAAGTATGGAGATAATGTCAAAAGTGAGGTCATTTAATACCTCTAATTCTAGCGAGATATGTTCAGTGTAAAATGCAAAAAATTTTTTTACAACAATTGACAATTGTCCACTTCTTAATTTTGAAGTGACGCTAATGAAAAGTTACTTCTTGGATTTTAATAATATTAAATCTGATAACTGAATACTGACTTTTTACTTATTTTGTTTTGATATAGAGCCTCAGCAAAAAATCTCGATACGAA